GTTTTTGGAGGTTTCAGTCCATACTCAGTTGGTTCCAAGGCAGGGGGGCATGGCAGGGCCGCAGCTCATGGCGGCTGCAAACAGCAAGGCAGAAACCAGTAAAAGAGTGACACATATCTTCTTCCTGCCATTACATTGTATGTTGGCTCCACCCCTACGTGGGTGTAGCACTCACATCCCCAATCCAAGCACTAGACAATGAGCCAATCAAAATGCACAATGCAAATGAATGAGGCTGGGGGCCACTGACATAAACCATGATGGGGTCCAAAGTGAACCCCTGCTCTGCTACACTTTCTCTGTCTGACCCCAATTCAAGGTATATCTGTAGACAAAGACATTCTTTTGTATTTATCAATATTATTCTGGAGGCTCAGAGTGCAAGAGTTTCAACTGGGAGTTTGGTAAGAGTGGGTCACTGATCATCCCATACCTGCTGACAGCCCATCGTTCCAGAAAGTGCAAGACCCAAGAGACCAGCAGGGCGACAGGAGGGCTGAGCGAGCTGGGGCTCTGGGGTCTGGATAGCGGATTGATGGGATGACTGCTGTTACCCCGGGAGCTGCCCATGCCTCTCTGGTGGCTCCAGCTGTCGCCTGAGAAGGTAAAGAGGCAGAGCAGACAAGGACAGTGGCCATTAAAGTCATAACAGCTATTTTCAAAGTCAAGCTGGACCTGCCAGGAATTCTGTGCAGAAACATTTCTGCATGAAGACAGATGCTCATCACTATCATAGACAAAAAGTTCAGGAGTAGCGTATTTCTGTTCACAGAACATTTACTTTATTCTGACCTCTTGTAGCTCTAATTAGACACCAAACTAAAAATGACACTTGACTTTGATATGGCATAGTGATTTAAAAGAGACTTTTTACTTTAAAAAAAATCCAAAGGACCATGACTGCGACATTCCTCTGACTCTTGGGCACAGGGCAAGGTTAAATTAATCAAGACTGTGATTATGCCACAAATCAACTGCTCTGTAAGGTCCTCTGACTGAGCTTGGCTCTGAAACTCTCATATCCCTAAGCCACAGTCTTAACTGCAGTCTTTTGTGAAGCGAGCCATCCTTTTGTAGGAGTGCCTGCACATGCACATAAACATGCACACATGTGTGCACACATGTACACACTCATGCACATGCACCTGCACACATGCACACACACACACCTCTCTTCGTGGACTGCAACTGGAGAGCCCATCTTCTCCCTCATTTTCTCCAGTGGCGGGTATCATTCACAAGAGCCAGAGCATAATTTGGATGAAATCAGGTGAGATTTTCCTCCACTTCAAATGAATCGGAAGGGATGCTTCTTCCCCATCCCCACCCCTGCCTGCTATCCTAGAAGTTTGGCTCTTAGGGTCAAACAAAACAAAACCAAAAACAAAAAAACAAAACAAAACAAAAAAAACCCTCTGTGCAGTGTTTCAGATTTAAACACACCATATTTTATGTTGTTTTTAAATTTTAACTACTCACAACTCTCTCTCAACTGCACAGAAAGGCATGTGAACTTTCAGAATCCCCCAGCCCCCCGAAATGAAGCCCACAGGTGCTGAGCGGGGATGGAATTGTTTTAAAATGACCTCTGAATACTTCGTTCTCCAAGAGGAATACTGCATTTTTCTGCCTAGCTAAAAAATAAAAAAAATAAAAAATAAAAACTAGAATTTCAGACAAACAAAATGACTTAAATAAAGCATTTTCTAAGAAAAAGACATGAGAGAGAATTCTTGAGTTCAGGTTCCAAGTAAACCGTCCTCCACACTGGGGTGTAATTTTATATTGGACTGGAATGGAATTTTTAGTTACTAGTGTGTTCTATTTTTGTTGGCACTAAAAAAATGCTTTGGAGAAGAATAAGCAAGAACATTCTAAATTAAGTCACATAAATAATTTTCACATTTTCTACTTGAACGTGTGTGCATATTTCATTGTCCTGCATATTATCAGGAAAAGTGCAACCAACTGTTTTGTGCCCTGTGCCTATTCAAGTCCAGCTGCGTGGTTCCAAATTGCAGCTACTGCTTTTCTAATGCAATAATGTTTGGTTCCATGCCTCTTTGATTTCAACTCGCAGATATTTTTGTTCATTTCCCCAATTTCTAAGTCTTTATCTACAAGTCTATAATTACTGGCTTATTCTCACTGAGAAAGTTATCAGGTATCTGTACTCACATAGAGGTCTGTCATTATCTGGTGTTCCTTTAGATTGCTGATTTAGCTAATGAATAAAGGACATTGTAGATAGTTCTTAAGAAAACAGAAATGATCTGCTCTTTAAAGTCACAGGGTCAGTGATATATAATATATATCTATATATATTATATATCACTGAATGTATATATATATGGGTAGAGTCATGGTAATATCCTCAGAACTATTTTACTCAGAGTCCTAGAATCATTAGTAGGAGTCCTAGAATTGTTATTTTACTAGCCTTAGAGTCACAATTTTACTAGGAGTTCTAGAATTAGTATATAAAAATAACATATTAGTAGACAGTATCAGTGCTGAGGGAGTCATGGGAAAGCATGCATCATCTCCAGTCCTCTCTCCAGAGTCTCTGCTGGTGACCTAACCTGTGACCCAGTGTGCTGGTGAAAGCGTAGGCGGGCAGCCATCCACACACACTACCAAGTGTGAACTCGAAGGCCAAGAAACCCACATTTGGAAGAGAACTTGTGCTCACGTGACAAATATTTCAGAGCAGATTGTGTCTCTGTAGATTCTGAATAAATCCTGAAGCTCCAACCTTCTGCTGATAAATTGTTTTGAGACTGTGACTTTTATTTCTCTGAGTCTCAGGACCTATCATTTTACCTATCTTATTTTCTTCTTGTTTTTTAAAACAGATATTTTAATAATCTTCTCAGCCTATCAAGTGTTGGTATTACGGGATACTTCGAATTTCCTAAAGCATGACATTTGTTCATTCAATCAGTATTTATTGAGCAAATACTTCATTCCTGGTGCCATGCCAGGCACCCACAAAGAGAGCTGAGGTCAGGGTAGATACTGCCTCTGCTCTCAGATATAACACAAAACTGCTGCTGCTGCTACTAGAACCATGATACTAGCATCTATTGCTTCTTCTACTACTATGGAATCAGGAGATATAAATGGTCTTCATTTTAGCACAATTTTAATTTTGAAAAGCATCAATCCACTGAAATTTAGGTTAATATTACTCTTTTTATTTTATAGGTGCTACCTGAATGAATTAATGTTAATAATTTAAAAATTGCTATTATTTTTGTAACCACAAACAGCCTTTATTGTATTAAAATATTGGAGGCATCTGCATAACTACTCAGTTATTTCTTTCATTTTCAAAACATCTGTGGATGGTTTTGAAGACAATGATGCAATCTCCCTCTGTTCCACTAATTAGATTTTTTATTTTTAATTTGATTCCCATTGCACATCTGAGCTCAATACAAATCAAAAGCAACAACAACTAGGTAGATACAAAAACTCCAACAATCTTGAAGGAAATCAGACATTAGATCTCCATGAATGTATTCAGCTTATATTTTTAGTTTTCTTTTTGTAAACAGTATTTTATACCGAAATCAATAAAAGCATAAAGGTTAGAATTTACCTAAGCATCTATCTGACACTAGATATGTTTATTACACTTGTTATCTCAGGTAGATGTTTGTGTCCCCTGTGACCAGGGGTACTATACATGACTTGTGATGATGATAACAATTTTGGGAGACAAAATGACATTTCAGACTCAAGCAGTTGCACCCCAGAGCCAACCTTGCTTCCACTGTACACAATGGCTTTATTCAATTGATCTGTTTAGCTATCATGCGAGATTTTTAAATGTGACTCAGTTTTATGAGCAATTAACCCATTGGGGCTTGATATCAGATTATTTGTTTTACTGAGAACAGGTGGTTATCCCAGTTCGATTAGGAACCAGCTCTCTCAAAATTAAATCAAAGTCTTATCATGGAGATCTTTAAAGAAAATTCTTAAATTATGCAGAAATGCCTTTCACAGATGTGTGTGGCATCGTGGTCTGAGAACAGCGACACTGTCCAGTATGTCAGCTGTCCTGACTTTAACTGCATCAGAATCAACCCAAAAACTTGCTGATGTGCAGATTTCTGGGCCCTGCTCAGGACCAACCACATCCCAGAAGGTTTTTTGATACACCTAAACATCTGCATTTCTGACAAATTTCTGCACAAGCATCTGGAAACCAGTGCCTTCTGTCAAGTTACCCAAGGGAGCTGTAAATGTGGATCAATAAGTGACAGACACTGTTTCCTATGTCAACAAAAATTAACTGATACAAAGGTGATTTTTTTTCTAGAAGACAATTTTGAATCATACTTTTTATGTTACTGAAATGACTATGTCTCTGGGGCTGATGCTGCCAAAGACTTTTACTCTGAGGATGAAAACATGAGCCTTGGTGTGGGAGGCCACAGCAATAGTTAGGCTGAATCTTGGCTTGAAGACAAAAACCAGGGGAGACTTAACCGAGCTAATCTTTTTCATTTGCTATCATTTTTTTGTTGCTTCTCATTATTTCTTTGATTGCTAAGCACTACAGGTGTTGAAGGTCCATTATGTTTCTATAACACCTTACCTTACGCATATATTTTTCAGAACAGTAGGTCTTTTTAAAGGAAAACAGATGTGGCATCAGAGCAGAAATGCTGCATAAAGGAAATCTTATCAAATCTAGTGATTATAATCCAGAAAGTAAAAGATGGAGAAAAACGCAAATGTGCCTGGGATGACTGAAATAGAAGGTGTGAAAGCCTGGTAAATACTCCTTGCAAAGCTGTGCTGAGCTTCCTTCCTGAACTTGGCCAAATACTATTGCCAATGGCTCAGCTGCAGTGCTAAAGATCTCAGGCTCGAAAAGAGTTGTGAGTAGACGCACACCTGCAAGGTGCTCAGCTGATGAAATAAAGCCCTCTGCTATCCCTTGGGTTACAGAAGCCCGCTCTCTGTGCCCACAGGCTGGACCTAGTTCACCTTACCTAGTGTTTCCCTCAAGGCTCTGTGTTTTAGCTCTAGTGGAGCCAAGCAGCACACATTCCCTTTCCACTGAGCAATGCAGTTCATTCTCTGTGCTGATACATCAGTTGCCTGCTTCCCAGCAGGAGATGAAGTCGGAGAGTCCAGACAGGCTCCCCAGAGCAGGTGAGATCTGGGGTTTTGTTCCCTGTGTCCAGCCCCAAACTTTCCTTGTTAGTGGATAAATGCAGCTGAAATACAGCTTTCAGCTTAATGCACGTGGCTGGAAGACAAAGGTCCCTGTGTTTGCTGGCCTCATACTTTCTATGGGGCCAAAGGTGCAGGAAATCATCTCTAGGGAGTCATTAGTGTTTCAGGGTTGTATTGTCACCTTAAATGAGCTCGATGGAGAATTTATACTTGGACCACAGTGTGAGAGAATGCTAATGTTTTAATCCCATATAAGCTTCTAGGGGCTGATGTAGCTAAATTAGACAATGTGGAAATTGAATGAAAACTTGCTGAAAATGTGCTTCTCGTATGAGCTAAAGTGGGTGCATTACAGGGAGAAATCTGGTGAGCTGGCATCTGCAAAGTCGTCAGGAGAGCAGAACTTAGAGTGAGATAACAAAACGGGACTTTCAACAATGAAACCTGGCTTCCTTTCTGTTTCGTTTTGTTCTTGATTAAGCAATGAACTTCATTTAATAGACCACACTCCTGGGCTGATGGGAGCTTATCATGAGTTTGAAAAAAGAGTAGATGATGTTCTGAGTTTATTAAAATCTACTGGAGGAAATGCTCCAAGCTCTGCATTGGTGACAGCTGACAGTTCATTAGCTAGATGTAGCTATTTGACGAGTATCTGAACAAACAACTTCCTTTGAGGAAGCCTAAGTTGTTTTACCCACAAGTGCGTAAGTCCCCCATCTGCTAGAGTCTTGCTCAAACCTCCCCAAGGTAGGCATTTTCAAGCAACTAGTATATAAGGAGATTTGCTTGCCTACTAAATCTGTATGGTAGATAATTAGAATATTTGCTTTGGAAATAATGTTGCATCTTGATATGCACTGGAGTGGGTTAGGAAAACCAGTGACCATGGTGTGCTGAGTTTGTTCTTTCACATCATCCACATTACAGTCATTTCGTGGGTTTACTGAAACATAACTCCTGCCCCCATCTCCCAATCCCAGGGTTCCTCTCTCAGTTGGATTCAGTAGAGGTGCAAATATTAAGGTAGAGATTCTGGGACCACTTTGAGAACCACAGGAAAAAGAGTAGGGGTGATGTAGTGTGAGAACCAATCTCGTTTTTCCAAACCTCGAGGAATGGCTGGGAGACACAGTGCACAGAGAAAGTGAGAATTTAACGTTGGTCTTGCAAGACCGAGGGTCTAGTAAGTGGGCACAGCCAGGCCGGGCGTTTTATTCCCGGTGCACAGCTCCCTCCTCCAGACCCTCACTGGCTGAGTCCTATCGGATGCACACTCTCCCTGGACCTCATCTGGGTTTATCATTTCCTCATGGGGTATTCTTTTCTCTGCCTTTTCCACTCATGCCTACATTTCTCCACAAAGATTTTCTTAATAGTTTTTCTCTCCTCCAATACCTTGTTTACTTAGACCTTCTAGATGCCAGAGGTTTTTTTCCTTTTTCTTTTTATGGTACAGGAAATTGAACTTAGGACTCTGACTTGCTGAGCTATGTCTCCAGCTTGAGGTGTCTGAGATTTCTGAGCTTTGTAATGTCCATGAGCCTTTAGGCAAATTTAACTGGTAGTAATTTTCCACTCTGAGTTAGCTAGTTTGTCTTGAAAACGGACCACTTTAAGTTCCATTTTTTACAGGCTGTAAGAGCTTCCACCAGGATCTGTGGGAACTGGAATCCCTGCTAATTAGCTACCCTGCAGCCAATGTCAGGCCACTGGGTAGTTTCTTACTACTTCAAGTTTGAATTTTAATGCAGCATTCCTGGTAAGTGGAGAATTCAGTCTGACAGTGCTGATTGAGTCTCCCTGATCAAGTCTCTCTGAAACTCTTCCCTTAGCAGGAAATGGTTTTCAACAGAATGGTTAAAGAACAAATAACCTAAATTGTCATTGTCAATCAATTATTTCATAATTTCAACTTCTGGATCAATAGACCATGTCTTGGGAATGAGATCACTGTTCAGTCGGGTCGGACTCCAGAGCCAGGACTGTAGCTCAAACCTACCCCGAGCCTTCGATGACGGCCTAGTTTGTCTGTGACCTTTTCATTTGACTTTGGCTGAGCTGCTTTAATTCAGTGTTATTTGGCCTGGGGATTTTAAAGGACTGAGAGGGCTCCTTGATTATTTCCCTTTGGATTATGCCACATATGTTAAAAGTCACTAAGCGGTGTCTGAAAACTCGCATTCGCCGGAGGAAAGGGCAAGAGCAGCACCGGACTTTGAGACAGGCCAGCAAGGGAAATGCAGTGTACAACTGGGTACACGCTAGAAACCATTATTTCCTGTATGGTTGTATTAACCTATTAAGTCTGCTTTATCTGAACATCTCGCAGCTTCTCAAACATGAGTCAGGTCCTCTTTCTGAACATGCTACACTAGGATAAAGGACAATCAGGGCCTGATAATACATTTAGCTTCTTGAATGTTTCCTTATTTGAGGTTGTCAAGCAATGGATTGTGAGGCAGGAACACAAAACAGAATATTTTAAAAGTCATTTTCCAACTCTCTATCCATAAGAACCATTTAATATTACTTCTCAGTAACACACATGTGCAGGAATATTCTTTGCCTCACCCAGAAATTCCCACAGCTGACAAATGGTCCTGCTGGAGAGGACAGACACAGTTTCCTGTGCAGGGTCACCTGGGCGTCCTTCTAGAGATCTAGTTTGGAGTAAAGTTTTATCTTTTGCCTTTTCAGCTGGTGGTGGACACAGATGACAGTGGCAGGAATGAGCTTTCTTTTGTAGGTGGTGACATCAGAGAAAGATTGGAGAAAGAATATGCAGCCATTTCCGTGTTAACTAATATTCAGTTCTTCTTTGGACATTATTTTCTGGAGCAGACACGTACTTTGTTAGATTTAAAAATCTACAAAACCAAAATCTTCTAGCTCAAATGAGGGGAAAAATCTTATCTACTTGCATATAAATAAGGAAGATACTTTTCCTATAGTTGTGTTTGCAATGCCAAACTCTGTAAAGATTCTCTCGCATTACTATAACACCATTGCATCTCATATTTGGAAAAAAGTTCTAAATATTATATAGTATGGGACACTCAGAAGATGACATGAACAAGTACAACAAGCTGGAACACATTTATGAGGTTATCAAACAACAAGCTTCACATACTTCTCCATTAAATAACTTTTCTACTAAAAAAATTAATCACTAGAGCTAATATAAGAATATAGATTTTCTATAATGTGGAACTAATCCTCTCTCATTTTAAATAACACAATCTGATAAGATGGCAGTTGCTTCTAACAATAATCTAAGGAAATTGCCACCCAAAGGCTTCCACATATTTATAAATTCAATGATTTCTTTAAGCATTAAGAAGCTGATTTGTGAGTGTTATGATATTGCATAATTAGGCTTTTAAATGTCTCATAATTCAGGAAGAAAGAAAATAACAGTAATTTCCATTTGAACAGACTTTACATGTTTTTATAAATAGTTTTATTGAGGTATAATTCATATACCATACAAATCTTTTAGCTAAAGTGTACACTCGTTATTTTAGTGTATTCATAGATATATAAACCACCACTACAGTCAAGTTTGGAATACCTGACCATCCAGCATCTCTGCACCTGTGGCTCTGTCTCTCCTGCTGGACTCACACTCCCTCAGCTTTCATCAGTCCTGTAGCTTCCTCGCAGCTCCTAACCGTGAACTTTCATGGGAATGGAATCACATGTGTGTGCTGTGATGGGCTTCCTTCATGTGGCATCGTGCTTTGAAAGGACAACCACACTGTAGCATATTTTCAAGAATCATCCATGTTGCAGCATGGATCAGCATGACTCCTCTAAGTCACCCAATAATATTCCACTGCATGAGCATGTTGAGTTTTGCTTACCTGTTTTTCTATTGATGGACATTCCGGTTGTTTCCAGCTTGGGGACGTCACAAATAATGCTGCTATAAACAGTCATGGGCAAGTTTTGTAAGGATATGTTGGTCCATTTCCCTTGGGCATACCTGCAGAAGTGCTGGGTCATTGGTAACTTTCTGATGAATTGTTTCAGGAGCAGCCAGACTGCTTTCTAAAGAAGCTCACCATTTCCACTGCCACTAGCAGAAGTGTTCCGATTTGTTCCCATTTGCTCAGACTTCTTGTTGTCTGACTTTTACACTTTCGCTGGTCCTAGTGGGTATAAACTTGTATATATTCTGGTTTTCATTTGTATTTCCTTTTGGACAGTGATGTGAAATATTTGTCATGCATGCACTGGTGGTTTGTGTATCTTCTTGGAAAAATGTATATTCTGATCCTTGCTCATTTTTGAAAGAGTTTTCTTTTAATTATTGATTATAAGAACTTTAAAAATTCTGGCTATATCTCCCTTATGAGACTCTCCCATTTAGTAAATATAATCCCCCATTTAGTGAATATTTTGTTTTCTTTATGACTTGCACTAAAAGTAAAAAATGTTAACATTTTAATGAAATCCAATTTCTTTCTTTTATCACTCATGCATTTGGTGTCATGTCTAAAACTTCTTTACCAAGTATGAGGTCATGAAGGTTTACACCATGTTTCTGTCTATAAGTTTTATGGTTTTAGCTGTTATGTCTCCAGTCCATTTTTATTTGACTTTTAAATATGAACTAATGCAAAGGTCCAATTCCACTCTGCGTGTAGCTATCCAGTCTTCCAGCACTGCTTGTGAAGGAGGTAGATCTTTTTTCACTGAATGCTCGGGGTACCACTGTGAAAAGCTGATTGATCGTAACTGTGTGAGGTTGTTTCTTGACTTTGTCTTAATTATATTTCAGTCACCTACAGGTGTATCTCTGTGCCAGAGCCACACACAGTCTCTATCATCAATGTTTCTGGTAAGTTTTGAAACTGTTTTCAGTTCTATCTGAGGTCTCTTACCTTGTTTTTTTATTTTCATAATCGTTTGGATAGTCTTGGTACATTATAGTTTCATGTGACTTTTACAATCAGTTTATCAATTTATAAAAAGAAATGATCTAGGATTCTGATAAAAATTACATCGAAACTGTGGGTCAGTTTAGTAATACTGCTCCCCACCTTTGTAATGGGGACTTAAACCAGTGTGTTTGCCCTGAGCCACATTCTCCACCCTTTTTATTTTTAATTTTGAGGCAGGAACTCATTGAATCACTAACCTGTCCAGGCTGGGCTTGAACTTGTAATCCTCCTGCCTCAATGTCCCGGAGCACTGGGACTCAGCTTGTGCCACTGTGTCCCACTAGGAGTAATCTCATTTCAACAATGCTAAATCTTTTCTCTCATGACTAATTTTCTTCAACATATTTAGATCTTTAATTTCTTTCAGTGATCTCTTATAGCTTTCAGAGCATAGTGTATTCTTTACACTTTTGTTAATTCCTAAATAGCCTTTTTAGTGCTATCATGAAGGAAACTGCCTTAGTTTAATTTTCAGGTTGCTCACTGCAAGTGTACAGAACTAAACTTTGGGTTGTTTTTGTCTGCTGTGACCTTGCTTGCATTGTGTGTTAGCTCTAGCCTTGTTAGTGGCTCAAGGGTTGATTGTAAAGGATAATGCTTCCTAAGGATAGTTATGAAGACTCTGCTAGACCAAAGGGAAGTGAGCCTGCAGTTCCCAGTGGGTTCACAGGAGGGAGGTTGGAAAGAATGAGCATGATCACAGGAGGGATAACATGGTGGCAGCCTACACAAAGAGGGGACAGGGAACCAGAACAGTCCAGGAGAGACACCTGGTAGGCGACAAGTGGCACCTGCAACCCAGACAGGGAAGCCTTGGTGAGTCAAAGCCCAGAAGCTTGTTACCATAGATAGTGACATAGTAAAAAATAAAAAAGATGACAAACAAAACAGAAAAGGTCCCTGATTATGTTGTAACTATTCAAATAACATTTATCAGGTGACAGCATATTTGAATTTTTTTTGGATTTTCTTGGGATTTTAGAAGACATGATATCACGTGTGTTGCTTGAGTTTTCTAAAGGAACAACACCCACTAGCTGTTTTATATAATTATGCACGGGGATTTAATAGATAGATTTACAGTATCAGAGGAAGGTGAGCCAGGGGATCCAGTGGCCACTCAGAGCAAGAAGCTGGAAGCTGCAGAACAATGCGATTCAAGAGTGCAGTCGCCAGCCCAGGACTGAAGATGGGGAAGCCCCTGGAGAGTCACTGGTACAAATCCACTTTGAAAGGTTGAAGAAGCCATCCACAGACAATGGCAGCAAAAGATACACCCACTCAAGCCTACTGGAAGATGCCTCAGACTCCTTCCTTTCTCTTTCATTTCACGGTGCACAAGCCCATTGGATAAAGCTCATTGGATAAAGCCCGTTGGATAGAGCCCATTGGATAGAGCCCATTGGGTAAAGCCCATTGGAAAATGCCCCTCACAGTTGGGCTGAGTCCTCACCCTGGCCACATGACTCCCTGCCAGTCATCTCTGAAAAACACCCCACAGATATACCGAGCAGTGCCCTTCACTAATCCGCTAGGCATTTCCTAATCCAGTCAGACTGGCAACCAAATTAATTGTCACATAATTTATGTCCTGACCTTTTACAAAAGTGTCTCATACACAAATCTCCAGATATTCTATCAAATGTCTTTTAAATTTCTTTACATTATGTCATTTATTTTTTCTTTCTTCTTTGCCTGTTTCTTCTTCCTTCATCAGAATATGCCAAAATCCCTGGGAATTAGTTAAAAATAATGACAAAGTGGCTCATTTGCATATGGAAGTTTGAGAAGCACAGATCTTGGATAGACTCTTTAAACTTCTAACCATTGTTTAGCACAATATTTTAAGCTCTGAATTAGTGTGTGCTCACTTTAAGGAGAAGTCCCCCAAAGAGACTTTGCATATCTCAGTACGGGTGTTTTTAAAAAATCCTCAATCCAAGTGTGACCAAAGTTACAAATTAATCATGGTTTTCATGCATTATTCTGCTTATATTTTTAGTTCCTTATTTTTTTTTATATAAGTGGCAGACATATTGTCTCTCTCAGATTTCAACCTTAATTTCCAAAAGTAATGTTGTACTTGACACTCCCTTGGAGAGTGAAGTGGTTGATACAACCTCAAATCTAATGGATAGACACATTAAGTCTCCACCGATCCAGTTCAATATTCTGCAATGGACTCTGGCACGAAGCCCAACAGAAAATGCTTAGCTATCTTTGAGAGCAAAAGTTTTATTCTGGAAATGTTAGTCTGGTCTATGTTTATTCCAGGATGTCTTATCTATAACTGTTCACTCATCTGCCATCACTGTTGTAATGCTTTAAATACATTTTGTATCTGACATAATGGAATAATATAAACATATATAATTTATTTTTCATATTTGAATGGAGAAGTTAATGGCTTAACTCAGGGCCTGCATACTAAAATTCAATGGCTAAGGGCTGGGGATTTAGCTCAGGAGCATAAGTCCCTGCTTGTAAATCATGAAGTAGTGAGTTCGATCCCCGGTACAAAAAAAAATTCAATGGCAAGAGGCCATCCAAACTTGTGGATCGGGTCTCTTTACAGGGCCAAAACATTGAGTTTGGCTGGAAGAATGGAGTAAAAGCTAGAATTTAAGGAAAGTTGAATGAAAGCTGCAGGTTAGAATTTGCTAATGTGAGACATGTTAGACTGTTAGGGCTGACCCAGGAAAGTACCACGATGGCATCCTCTGAGGAAGCAGGCAAAAAAGAAAAGAGAAAAAAGAAATGACATAACATAAAGAAGGTTAAAAGCCATTTAATAATTTCTCTTTCCTGTTGTGTCAAAGCCTAAGGAAGCTTCAGGATGATGATCAAAAAGTATGTCAACCTACTTACCTGGAATTTACTTGGAATCAGTAATATTTCAGTAGTTACTGTCAGTCTGTCCTCTGTGAATCTTCAGTAGCCTTCTGCATGGCTGTCTTGGGAGGAGAGAACAAGACACCCTGTTCTCTCCATTCTTTAGGTTGCCTTTTCACTCTTTGTTTACATCTTTTGCTGAGGAGAAGCATTTCAATCTGATGTACTCTCATTTTGTCAGTTTTTGCTTTTGTGGGCTATGTTTCTGGTATCATAGTCATGAAATCATCACCAAGGTCAAGGCCATGAATTTTTTCTCTTTTGCATTATTCTAGGAGCTTTAAAGTTTCAGGCCTCACATTCAAGTCTTCAGTCAAATAATTTATATTGCTATGTGTGCGTGATTTGAGATAAAAGCCCCAAATCATTTTGAAGGTAGAAATTCAGTCTTCCCAACACTGTCTGTTGAAGAGGCTCTCCTTTCCCCATTATATATTCTTGGCATCTTGTCAAAGATTATTTCACTAGCTGAACAGATCTATTTCAGACTTCTCTCAGGTTCTGCTGTTCTATATGTCTATCTTGATACCAGCATTGAACCATTTCATATAAGCATTGAACTATTTTGATTACTGTGGTTTTGTAGAACACTTTGAAATCAGGTGTATGATGCTTCCATTCCTGTTCCTCTGTCTTAAGATGATATGAGAAAGTTATAGTTTTCTTTTCTTTTCTTTTCTTTTTCTTTTTTTTTTTTTTTTTGTACTGAGGATTGAATTTAAGACCTATGCTTGCCGGGCAGGCGCTTATACTGCTGAGCTAAATCCCTGGCTAGAAATCATAGTTTTATGAATCCACATGAATTTTAGGTTTTTTAAATTTCTGTCAAAAATTATGTTTGGGTTTTGATAAAGGCTACACTCAGTTTGTAATCACTTTGGGAAGTATGGATGAACTAACAACAGAAGTCTTCCAAACCATGTATCTGATAAGGAGTTATTCTCTGAAATTATTTACAGATTCTTACAACTAAATAGTGAAAAACTAAATGCATGGCCGAAAAATGGACTAAGGACTTAAATATCTATTTCTCTGGAGACTTACAAATGGCCTGCAGGTACATAAAACAGGTCAACACCACCATGATCAAGGGCACAAAGGTGAGCTCTTGATGAGGTGTTTCCTAAGATTTTTGCAGGTTATGAAAAAACCAAAGTGAAGTAGGTGTTGATGGAAAAATAGAAACGCTTGCACAGTTAGTGAGAATCCAAAGTGGTACAGTTGCTATGGAAAATGATATAAAGATTCTTCAGAAAGGTAGTAATAGAAATAGCCTATGTATGATCCAGCAATCTCTGTGTTTCCTGTCCAAAAGCAGTGAACGCAGGGTCTCTAGGAGATACCAGCACTCCTGTGTCCCTGCAGACAGGTAATAGCTGACATGGGAAACTGCGTAAGTCTCCATCAAAGAAATCAAATGTAGAAATGCAATATATATATATATATATATATATTATACAATATCAAATAATGGATTACTATTCATCCTTGCAAAAAGAGAAGAGAATGTACAGTCTGCAATCAACATGGGTGAACCTTCAGGAAATTAGGCTAATAACTGCAGAGAGACAGTATTTCATGATCCCACTTATAGGAAGTATTTAAAAAGTCACATTCATAGGATCAAAGGGTGGAATGGTGCTTCCTGGGGCTGGGTAGGTGGGGAAATGGGAATTTACTAAACCACTGGCATCAAGTTTCAGTTGGCCCAGGGATGAAAATTCTAGAGGTTGCCACCTGGCTCTGCACTATAGTCAGCCACGGTGAAGTATTGTACACTTAGAATTCTGTGAAGAGGGTAGATCTCAGGTGGTGTTAGGTGGTCGTACTACCATGAAATCAGATAAAATGCTGTCTAATCTATGCTTCCTCTGGGGCGAGTCATTTCCTGGGCTCACATTCATCGGGTAGGTGCAGGCCGTCTCCAAAGTTTCCTTCAGGTTGCAAAGCGTTGGTCGCCACCCTCCTCCTCTGCTCTGCAGACCTCGGCTTCTCGGCTCCTCGGCTCCTCGGCTTCTCGGCTTCTCGGCTTCTCGGCTTCTCGGCTCCTCGGCTCCTCGGCTCCTCGGCTCCTCGGCTCCTCGGCTCCTCGGCTTCTCGGGCGATCTGCGGTGACTTTCACACATGAAGGCGCGAACAGCTTCCACTGCAGTCGCTTGCTTTTCAGCTGCGGGGCACGTTGTGAGCTACCTGAAAAAACTCCACACTGTAGCTAATCGCCTGCGGTTTCTCCTTTCCCGCCCCCTACCAGAGATTTCACCTTTTCCAACCTATTCAAAGATGAGCTAGTGCAGTGCTATCTGCTGCTCTCACTTTGTTCCCTCTGTGCATGGGATTTCCAAAAGCAAAACATGGATGAGGCAAATGCCCCGGCTCGTCTCAGAAAATACTCCAGTCCCCTAAACAAGCTATTATCTTCGTTTGCTATTGAAGACGCATCGGTTTCATTATAATCAATGTATAATTGGAAGATGGCATGAGATTAATTATGGAAATGCTTTTCAATTTCAATAGTCAATTAACAAGCAACTGTATGAAGGCCACAATAATTACATTGTTCTAGAGGCATTGCACTACAAGTCTTATTTCAGTATATTTAGACTTCTCAAAGAGAATCTGATTAGCATTTATTTTTTTAATGAATTTGACATTCAAGAAATGCATGAATTTACTTTGGATATTGGATTATAAATTAATTTGTAGAAAATTAACATTGATTTTTCTTTTTCATCTAGGACCATCATCAGAGGCAACTTTTCTGCCTAAATTCCTGCCATAGTTATTGGGTTCAGCTTTAAGAGAGCAGAAGAAACATAAACTCCCATGAACCCTTCTAAAACACATTCTCTCCTGATACCTAGGTAGCTCTGCACAGGTTGGGAAAAACCTACCTTATCCCCTTAATTGAGAACACTGCTTTTCTCTACTCTAACTAAAGTACTAGCCAGCTCAGCCTCCTGAAGCTAATGCCTGTGTGAGTCTGTGGCTTTCTGCTCAGGCTTTCTACTTGCTGTCTTGGATGCTGGGTCTTTGCTCTCCTTGTCTCCTACTTCAAACAACTGGTTCCAAGGACTTGTGCAAGGCTGAGGCTGTAGCTCAATGAGAGGGTGCTTGCCTCACATAGGAGAAGCCCTGGTTTCCATGCTTGGCATTGTACAAAGAAAAAAGAGTGGCGCATATTCCAATATTTGAGAATGTTGCCTTTGGAAAAAGAAAGACACTTTTAACATCAGAAAACCTAATCCTTGCTAGTGCAGTAGTAAACTGGAGTTACTGGGAAGTAAATCTTTGCATTTCATTAAGCCTTTACGAGATGCTGGAAGTTGAGGAATTGGCATAATACTCACAAAAGGCAGCTCTAGTGCTCTCTAAACCCCAGAAAGCCCCTCCCTGCCGTGCACATGGCTGCCTATGACACAAGGAGGTGGCTTTGCTTGGGAAATGATTATGTGCGCAGGTTGCAGGCAAATTTTGGACAAATTGCTTTAGACAGACTCACGCAGGCATTAGAATGAGAGCTTGGAATCTAGGTGCAATCACGGGAGGCCAGCTTCCCACAGCCTCAGTGACAGCAGGTGGTGGTCACTTAGCAGACAAGAAGCAGAGACCTGAAGATCACTGCTGGGAAGATGAGCAGGACAGCAAGCCCTGGGCATGGCCTCTATGCCCTTCTGGGCAGAGACCATGCCGTGGTATAGACTGGAAACTCCAGGTGAGGATGTGAGAAGGCAGTTGATGGACTTCTTGTCTACTGCATTTCACTTCTGAGCCCTCTGTGCACATTATCAAAACATCCCAGATGAGCATTTGGGGAGCCACTGTCCAAGTGCCAGCTCGGCCTTGCTCCCCCTCTTCCTCTCTCACAAACAGTGGTTATGACGCCAGGCTCCCCACCCCACCCCCAGACATCACTTACTGAGTGCAAAATTCCACTCTTCTGGGTGGGTTTTAAAGCCTTCTGTGCGATGGGCCAGTCCTGGTTGATACCTCTCTTTCTTTCCAAGTAAATGGATCCCCATTCATCTGTGATTTCCTCATAACAATTCCCTGGAAACAGTAAAATCTGTATGACTACCTGTAATAGTCTATGATGGCAGACAGGTGGACTTGGCTTTCTTTTCTGTCCCAGAGTGGCTTTGTAGATTCTGAAGAGAACGGAAGAGCTTCTGGCATTCCTGTTCAGCAGCATCCAAACTGCAGCAGGTGTGGATTCCAGAGAGGACACCATAATGCAGTCCTTGCTTGGATCAAGGCTGAGAGTGATTTGCTGAAGTGAGGACCTCTCTAGCTGGATGTAAACTTGTCCTCAAATATGTTTTCCCAGTACCCTCGAGTATGAGCTAACCTGCTTTATATGGCAGCTTGCTGGAGCTCACACTTCACCGGATGTGTAGCAGGAAGCTGTATGCTGTGCATGTGAACAAATGAAGTATGATAGAGAACACCTGATTCTGCATCCTTGGAAGATCAAGAGGCATGGGAAAAGAAAAATTAGATACTTAATCTTATGAAATCTCCAGGTCTCCGTCACTGTCTTTACACCTACTTAGATAGCAGTAAGTTGTCAACGGGATATAGCTGTGGAACTTCAGCAAACGGAAAATAATTTCATAGATCAGTGGATTAATTAGAGGCTGGTACTCAGCTAAACACTGCTCTGTTGGCCGTCAATCTGCTTCATTAAGAGCTGCTCCAAGGAAGATTTCCTTATATTTTTGTGACTCCAGCTGTCACCAATTGTCAATGTCAATTGAAGAATAATCAATTAAGTAGCAAGATTAAGGAGGACCCAGCAACAATAAAGAAAAATGTGTCAAAACAGATTTTATTTCTTTCCTATGATTCAAGCCTTCATTTCATCTAGATGAAAGAATGGTGATCGATGGATCTGATTATATGAGAAATTTTATTAACCAATGGATGGTCAATTTTGGTTATTCTTTAAAAGTTATTCTTTAATTTGGAGCAATTAACTGAATGCAATCATTGGTGCATTTTCTTAAAATAGGGGCCTAGGGATTTAGCAATATGCATATCCCTCTTTTTAAGACAAAATATTAAGAAAAATAGTGACCATAAAATTCTTGAAACTTCTATTTGAAATATGTCAGCAACAGCCAGTACTGTAGAACTATTCCATTTTCAAGTTCAGTGCTCTTGGCTAATTTTCAAAGCCACTTTCGGGCCCTTGCAGTTTCCCGATGGGCTGTGGAATAAGTCTGATTGCTCAGATAGTTAAACTACTCGGCATGGGCAGGCCAGAAGTTTTGTGTTGACTCAGTACGTGCCACTACCCCAGGCCTCTGCAGGTCCTGTTAGGAAAGATAAATGAGAAGTGTTTTCCACGGTCTGTTCTTGCTTTCCACAGAGTGAACTTCAAATCAAATTTTTAGCTTTATGTCACTTGAGAGAATCAGGAGAAGACCTTTCACGCGGAAAGAGAACTATGATTAAGGCTTGTGAAGGACTGAGGACAGATACACGGCCAATGTGAAAATGGGGTTGGGGCTGAGAATAGACAGCACCGGTCAGGACTGAGACATAAAAGACAGCGTGTTCCCTGCACTAAAGGGAATGGAGGGTGCACTGATAGCGCTTTCTCCTTTCAGAAATGCATTTGGTAGCCAGTTCACTGCCTCTACAAACGCTCACCAAGAAGACAGAAGTGGAAGCATCACATTTAAATTGAATAGGTCAAATAGATTTCCATATGCAAAAGAATCTACTGGAATAAGAAATAAAAAGCACCAAGTTAAAAAAAAAATAACTTGCAGAAACGGAAGCGCAGAGCTCCTCCTCAGGAGCCCAGGTCAAGGTCTTCATGGTGTGACACACTGCATGTGCCGTGAGTTTCTGAGACCCTTAGAGTGCCCCGAAGCTGGAGTGGCAGGGTGTGACTGGGCTTTGGGAACCAAGCTTTTCTACATTCACAAGATCCAGACTCAGACCCTTCCAGGCTCTCTGCTCTGGCTCTGCTTCAGTAGAAGTTAAGTGGGGATTATGCTTCTCATCTGCCTCCTGATGCCTACACAGGAGGGAGATCTTTGCTAGGACTTAGTAGCTTATTAAAGTGCTTTCAATTAAAGCTGCCACTAATTAGCATTCCCGATAATCTGCAGCCCTGGAGTGCTCTGCTCTGGTGGGCATACGCAGGTAGGGGTGAGTTATGCTAACCGGAAGTGCCATGGTGCTTTTTCACACTGATTCATTTCTCCCCACAAATTCACACCTAGAGAACACCTGATTCTGCATCTTTGAGTGTTGCCCCCATGTACTCCGCTAGATCAAAAGGCATGGAACAAATTGTGTGTGCCTCGAATGTGTTTAAACTTTGTTCTTGCCATTATTTCCTGAGTCATTGGGTCTAAAAAATTATTCACATAGCATTGACTTTATATTTGGTATTATAAACAATCTAGGAATGATTGTGTACAAATACTACAAATACCATGTCACTTCATACAAAGATCTTGAGGGTAAATGGGTATTAGTATCCATGGAGACGCTAGAACCAGGCCTCTGTGAGTATTGAGAGATAACTGTGTCTTATCTCAGAGTCTTTAATATGCATATTTTAAAGCATGTGAGTAAAACTCTCCAGAAGCCCATGTGAAATTGAGTGTGGTCCCATCATGAATCGAGGCAGAGGCTGAGCTGACTCAGGCCGTGCATACCTCCTGCTATAGAGGGGACAGTGGCTGGTCTAAGTAATGTACACCATCGCCAGTGTGAACCTGCCCCAAGGCACCCAGCCAGGGAAGCACATGGGTTAACATTTTCCCCGTGTGGAACCAGCCATGTACTTGCTGGCCTTGCATTCTTTGTATATTCAAAGAAGCATCTTTTGCTTTTTGCCCACTCCAGAGCAATAATTCAGTAAGTGCATGCATGTGTCACCTGGAAGCAGGAGGCTGACTGAGAAGCCCTCATCAGGCCATTCAAGATGGCATGAAGGAAGATCAAAATGGCATAGATATGATGTAGGCACATGAAACTAACTGGATTTTGATTTAGTCATTGGGTGATTCCTTTGGACCAGAATATGGATTGGCAGCTGAAGATCAGAGGGCTGCCACCTAAACAAAAGAAAATGGTATCACAGAGCCAGAGTTGAACAGAATCCATATGAGGTATAGAGGAAACCGGGGCTACTACAGATTATCACCCAGTGTGGTGTCAGGAAAGGGTAGAGAAGCAGGTCTCCTTCAAAGCCTCATTTCTCCTGGAGTAGCCAAAGAATGGAGTTCTATGGATGGTGCGCTCAGTGTGCTGGTCAGTTTTAACTTAACTTAACCTGTCAGGCAATATACCTGACCACACAATTTACAGGAGGAGAGGTTTGTTTGGGCTCATGTTTTCAGATGATTCAGTCCATAGTTAGTTGGTTTGAGGCACCATCATTATGAGGAAAGTGCACAGTGGAGGAAAGCTGCTCCTCTGTGGCAGCTAGGAAGTGAGAGCAAGGAAAGGGCCCTAGCTACAAGGACCAGGATACACCCAGACACACCCAGGAACGTGCTTGATTAATCTTCTAGGAACTTATAGAGCCAGCTGACAAGAATAACCATCGTGATCGGGACCCACTTGCTTCCATGATTCCAAGAACTTGTGTAGTCCTTCCTTCCCTTCCCTCTTGATGTTTTCTCCCTACCCAGAGGAGCAAAGGTCCCTGAAATGAGCTTTGACAGCCTAATTAAACCATATAAAAGGTATCTATTGTGGGTCCCAACCCTTTAGTGCCACTGAGGAGATGAACGCACTAATTGGACAAATGAGTCCACTCTACTGTAATTGTGGGTGATTGTGTGCTTTGCCCTTTGGCTCTGGGGAAGTGTGTATCTCAATGACACCTTGAGTCCTTGACCTGAGAGATTCACTCCAGTGGGGATGCCTAGCCAGCCAGGAAGGTATTTCGGAGCCCTTGGTTCCCTGGGATCCTTCTAAATCTTAGCACATCTGCAGATATTGCATCAACCAAATGAAGTTGTAAAAAGTTTATCCCAAGCCAGAAAAAAAGTTCTGAGTTAAAACCACAGAGCTTGTACACTTATTAGCATAGTTTTTTTGATTTCTCAAAAGAATTACTGAGAAGGCCTTTGATGTATCAAATATTAGGGCTTTGATGTATCAAATGCTATATGCCTGGAGGGATTAGTTCTGATTAGAAAACTTGAGTCCATGGGCCATCTCCCAGCCCCTAAAGACTTGTACATCCTTTCATTAAGAGGTGCGTGACAGTTGGACTCTTTGGGGAGGGGTCATTGCCTGTGGTGCCTCTCTGTGTGGCTATCCACAGATACATGAGTCTCCTCCTGACGGAGGACCACAGTCATGTTTTAGCATCTTGAGGTCATTCCCAACAGCACGACTCTGATTTTCACACCCTCCTTTACGATATCTCTTGTGCCTCAAAGATCCATAGTTGCTTATAGGAATCCCTTCATGGACCTGGTCACGGTCCAGTGGAGTTTATATTTGTAATCCAATTGAAAAGTTATTGGAACTCCAATAAGTAATGCCAATGTACCACTTCCAGGGCAATCTATGGTGACAATAAAGTCCCTAAGGAATATTTGCAGTTGTGGGGAACCAAGGGAGTCCTAAGTCCAGTTAGAACAATGGCTAACCAGGACAAAGGCCTCGACCCAGTGCCAAAGCCTGGTTTTATTATTTTGTGACGAGGGGAGTGGCACAGAGAGGAGTGACTGTGAGAGTGGCAGGAAGTACCTGAGTGCTGTGAGCTGGGCTGGGTAGCAGGCAAGGTAGCACCTCTGCAGTGTGCAGAGAGAGTGAGCGAGGCAAACAGAAAGAGGAATCTGCATAGCACAGTTAGTATCTTACGCTTTGAGGTCACCGCTTCAACTTTGATGTACAATGTTCATAACCTGAGGCATTGTAGACTCTTTCTCCAGCATCGCTCAGCCCAGCCCACTCGCACTTAGATGGGAGCTATAGACAGGACATCACTGACCTGTCCATTGCCTTAAAGACTGTGCATCAGCACCTTGGCTAGACCTGTTTGCATTCCTTAAAGACAACTGAGGGGATAAAGAAATATCCTCGTTAGCTCCGTTCATATCAATGCACAGAAATAGGGCCAGATTTAGCCAAAATGGAGACAGATGCTCTCTGTCCAAGGAGAGGCATCTTGGTGGTCCTCACAATCTGGTAGCCCTTGGGGCACTTAACAGTGGTCCTGTCTTCTGCTTGGGCCATTTGACCTTGAAATGGAGAGAAATGGAAGATGAAGCCTTTCTTCAAGGTCTCTGCTAATATGGTACATCATGGGCCATGCTTCCAGCCAAGTGATATTTGGGATAGCGCCATCTTGGACAGGAATGAGGAATGGTTCATGACCCTGAGCTGACATGTGTATGAAGTTGGTCTCAGTTCATCTGTCATTCAACAAATGTTTAAGTGTTTTTTGACAAGAATACCCTTTATGTATTCTGGAGAAAATAAACATGTTTATAGGGATGAGAAAGAACTTGTAAATGTTCAATGCTCTGAGATCTTGGACTCCTCTGCTGGTACAAACCACCTTGGTCAATCCCCAGAGCCTCCCACAGTGCAGAAAACCCACAGCTGAGCAGTCCCTGGTGCTGGCCTTTTCCTATGCAGATCCTGCCCAGAGACTTGAGCATCACCTGAAGTACAAAAAGCCAACTTTGTGAGTAGGCGCAGTGCCTGAGCTCCTTCTGTCCCAGAGCGTGTGTTGCTTTGAGATTGAGGTGCAGCAGCATGCGGATCTTTGGCAGATGAATCCCAAATGACTCAGTCATTCTCCCTGAACACC